GACGTGCTCCACACACACACACAGTGTACACACACACAGTGTACACACACACAGTGTACACACACACAGTGTACACACACACACACAGTGTACACACACACACACAGTGTACACACACACACACACGTGTGTCTCCCACCCCCTGTCCCACACCTTGTACATGACGCTCCGATCCCCCAAGACTCTGCCTGGGGAAGTGGACGTGCTCCACACACACACACAGTGTACACACACACAGTGTACACACACACACACAGTGTACACACACACAGTGTACACACACACACACAGTGAGACACACACACAGAGTACACACACAGTGTACACACACACAGTGTACACACACAGTGTACACACACACACACAGTGTACACACACACAGTGTACACACACACAGTGTACACACACACAGTGTACACACACACACACAGTGTACACACACACACACAGTGTACACACACACACACGTGTGTCTCCCACCCCCTGTCCCCCACCTTGTACATGACGCTCCGATCCCCCAAGACTCTGCCTGGGGAGTGGACGTGCTCCACACACACACACACAGTGTACACACACACACACGTGTGTCTCCCACCCCCTGTCCCACACCTTGTACATGACGCTCCGATCCCCCAAGACTCTGCCTGGGGAGTGGACGTGCTCCACACACACACACAGTATACACACACACACACACAGCGTACACACACACACACAGTATACACACACACACACACAGCGTACACACACAGTGTACACACACACACACGTGTGTCTCCCACCCCCTGTCCCACACCTTGTACATGACGCTCCGATCCCCCAAGACTCTGCCTGGGGAGTGGACGTGTTCCCCGGGCCGTTTGCCCTCCACGCTCACGATGGTCTGTGTCTCGGGCGAGAAGAAGACTCGCCACACGGGGGAGACACGGAGATCCTGGGAGACACGGGGGGGGGGGAGAGACACGGGAGGGGGGGGGGGGAGACACGGGGGGGGGGGGGGGGAGACACGGGAGGGGGGGGGGGAGACACGGGGGAGAGACACGGGGGGGGGGGGAGACACGGGGGGAGACACGGGGGAGAGACACGGGAGGGGGGGGGGGAGACACGGGAGGGGGGGGGAGACACGGGGGGAGAGACACGGGGGAGAGACACGGGGGGGGGGGAGACACGGGGGGAGACACGGGGAGGGAGACACGGGGGAGAGACACGGAGGGAGAGACACGGGGGGGGGGGAGACACGGGGGGGGGGAGACACGGGGGAGAGACACGGGGAGAGAGACACGGGGGCGAGGAGACACGGGGAGGGAGACACGGGGGGGGGAGACACGGGGGGAGGGAGACACGGGGGGAGACACGGGGAGGGAGACACGGGGAGGGAAACACAGGGGGAGAGAGACACGGGGGAGAGACACGGGGGGAGAGACACGGGGGAGAGACACGGGGGGAGAGACACGGGGGGAGAGACACGGGGGGGAGAGACACGGGGGGGAGAGACACGGGGGGAGAGACACGGGGGAGAGACACGGGGAGAGCCACGGGGGAGAGACACGGGGGGAGAGACACGGGGGGGGGGAGACACGGGGGGGGGGGAGACACGGGGGGGGGGAGACACGGGGGGGGGAGACACGGGGAGGGAGACACAGGGGGAGAGAGACACGGGGGAGAGACACGGGGGAGAGACACGGGGGGAGAGACACGGGGAGGGAGACACAGGGGGAGAGAGACACGGGGGAGAGACAGGGGGGGAGAGACACGGGGGAGAGACACGGGGGGAGAGACATGGGGGGAGAGACACGGGGGGGGGAGACACGGGGGGAGAGACACGGGGGGAGAGACACGGGAGAGAGACACGGGGGGGGAGACACGGGGGGGGAGACACGGGGGGAGAGACACGGGGGGGGAGACACGGGAGAGAGACACGGGGGGGGAGACACGGGGGGGAGAGACACGGGGGGAGAGACACGGGAGAGAGACACGGGGGGGGAGACACGGGGGGGAGAGACACGGGGGGAGAGACACGGGGGGGGAGACACGGGGGGAGAGACACGGGGGGAGAGACACGGGGGGGAGAGACACGGGGGAGAGACACGGGGGAGAGACACGGGGGGGGGGAGACACGGGGGGGGGAGACACGGGGGGAGAGACACGGGGAGGGAGACACAGGGGGAGAGAGACACGGGGGAGAGACACGGGGGGAGAGACACGGGGAGGGAGACACAGGGGGAGAGAGACACGGGGGAGAGACACGGGGGAGAGACACGGGGGGAGAGACACGGGGGGGAGAGACACGGGGAGAGAGAGACACGGGGGGAGAGACACGGGGGAGAGACACGGGGGGGGGGGGAGACACGGGGGGAGAGACACGGGGAGGGAGACACGGGGGGAGAGACACAGGGGGAGAGACACGGGGGAGAGACACGGGGGAGAGACACGGGGGAGAGACATGGGGAGAGACACGGGGGGAGAGACACGGGGGAGAGACACGGGGGAGAGACACGGGGGGGGGGGAGACACGGGGGGGGGGGAGACACGGGGGGAGAGACACGGGGGGAGAGACACGGGGGGGAGAGACACGGGGGGAGAGACACGGGGGAGAGACACGGGGAGAGACACGGGGGAGAGACACGGGGGGAGAGACACGGGGGGGGGGGGAGACACGGGGGGGGGAGACACGGGGGGGGGGGGAGACACGGGGGGAGAGACACGGGGAGGGAGACACAGGGGGAGAGAGACACGGGGGAGAGACACGGGGGGAGAGACACGGGGAGGGAGACACAGGGGGAGAGAGACACGGGGGAGAGACACGGGGGAGAGACACGGGGGGAGAGACACGGGGGGGGGGGGGGGACACGGGGGGGGGGAGACACGGGGGGGGGGGAGACACGGGGGGAGAGACACGGGGAGGGAGACACAGGGGGAGAGAGACACGGGGGAGAGACACGGGGGGAGAGACACGGGGAGGGAGACACAGGGGGAGAGAGACACGGGGGAGAGACACGGGGGAGAGACACGGGGGGAGAGACACGGGGAGGGAGACACAGGGGGAGAGAGACACGGGGGAGAGACACGGGGGGAGAGACACGGGGGAGAGACACGGGGGGAGAGACATGGGGGGAGAGACACGGGGGGAGAGACACGGGGGGGAGAGACACGGGGGGGGAGACACGGGGAGGGAGACACGGGGGGGAGAGACACGGGGGGAGAGACACGGGGGGAGAGACATGGGGGGAGAGACACGGGGGAGAGACATGGGGGGAGAGACACGGGGGAGAGACACGGGGGGAGAGACACGGGGGGAGAGACACGGGGGGGAGAGACACGGGGAGAGAGAGACACGGGGGGAGAGACACGGGGGGGGGAGACACGGGGAGGGAGACACGGGGGGGAGGAGACACGGGGGGAAGATATGGGGAGGAGACACGGGGAGAGAGACACGGGGAGGGAGACACGGGGGGGGAGACATGGGGAGGGAGACAAGGGGGGGAGAAACGGGGAGAGAGGGACACGGTCAGAGGCTTGGAGATGCGCAGACACACGCACAGACAGACGCAGACACCCCCCCCGTGAGTCTCCCCGTGAGTCTCCCCGCGTGTCTCCCCGCGTGTCTCCCCCGTGAGTCTCCCCTTGAGTCTCCCCCCGTGAGTCTCCCCCCGTGTCTCCCCGCGAGTCTCCCCCCGTGTCTCTCCCCCCGTGTCTCCCCGTGTCTCCCCGCGTGTCTCACGGGCTGCAGCTGGTATCCCTGGACGGTGCCGGCGGTGACGTTGGCGACAAAGAAGAAAACGGAACGGGCGCAGGCGCGGAGCTGGGACAGGAGCGCCGGCGTGGACGGAGACACGGACACCTGCAGGCAGGGAGACACGGGGGGGAGACACGGGGAGACACACGGTGAGACACACAGAGAGACACGCACGGGGAGAGACACGGGGAGAGACACGGGGAGAGACACGGAGCTGGGACAGGAGCGCCGGCGTGGACGGAGACACGGACACCTGCAGGCAGGGAGACACGGGGGGAGACACACGGTGAGACACACGGTGAGACACACAGAGAGACACACAGAGAGACACACAGAGAGACACGCACGGGGAGACACACAGGGAGAGAGACACGGGGAGACACAGAGAGAGACACACAGGGGGAGACACACAGGGAGAGACACACAGAGACACGGACACCTGCAGGCAGGGAGACACGCAGGGAGACACACGGTGAGACACACAGAGAGACACACAGAGAGACACAGGGAGAGACACACAGGGAGAGACACACAGAGACACGGACACCTGCAGGCAGGGAGACACACGGTGAGACACAGTGAGAGACACAGTGAGAGACACACAGGGAGAGACACACAGGGAGAGACACAGGGAGAGAGACACGGAGCTGGGACAGGAGCGCCGGCGTGGACGGAGACACGGACACCTGCAGGCAGGGAGACACGGGGGGAGACACGGGGAGACACACGGTGAGACACATGGTGAGACACAGTGAGAGACACACAGAGAGACACGGGGACAGACAAGGGGAGAGACACACAGAGAGACACAGTGAGAGACACGGGGAGAGACACAGTGAGACACATGGTGAGACACACGGAGAGACACACAGAGAGAGACACACGGAGAGACACACGGGGTGAGACACACAGAGAGACACACAGAGAGATACACGGAGAGACACACGGGGTGAGACACACAGAGAGACACACAGAGAGACACACAGAGAGACACACGGTGAGACAGAGTGAGAAGACACAGTGAGAGACACACAGAGAGACACACAGGGGGAGACACACAGGGAGAGAGACACGGGGAGACACAGAGAGAGACACACAGGGGGAGACACACAGGGAGAGACACACAGAGACACGGGGAGACACAGAGAGACACATGGGGAAACACAGAGAGACACACAGAGACACAGAGAGAGACACAGAGACACACAGAGAGACACACAGAGAGAGACACGGAGCTGGGACAGCAGCGCCGGCGTGGACGGAGACACGGACACCTGCAGGCAGGGAGACAGGGAAAGACAAGGTGAGTGACACATGGTGAGACACACAGAGCGACACACAGAGAGACACGGGGTGAGACACACACGGTGAGACACACGGAGTGAGACACACGTGGGGGGAGAGAGACACACACGGTGAGAGACACGGAGTGAGACACACGGTGAGACACACGGGGAGAGAGACACACACGGTGAGACACACGGGGAGAGACACACGGAGTGAGACACATACGTGGGGGGAGAGAGACACACCCGGTGAGACACACGGAGTGAGACACGTGTGGGGCAGAGAGACACACACGGTGAGAGACACGGAGTGAGACACACGGTGAGACACACGGGGAGAGAGACACACGGTGAGAGACACACACAGTGAGACACACGGTGAGACACGTGGGGGCAGAGAGAGACACACACGGAGTGAGACACACGGAGTGAGAGACACACACAGTGAGACACACGTGTGGGGCAGAGAGACACACACGGTGAGACACACGGAGTGAGACACACGGTGAGAGACACACACGTGTGGGGCAGAGAGACACACACGGAGAGAGACACACACACAGTGAGACACACGCGGTGTGAGACACACACACACAGTGAGACACACACACGGTGAGACACACACAGAGACACACACACAGTGAGACACACACACACACAGTGAGACACACACAGAGTGAGACACACACACACAGTGAGACACACACAGAGTGAGACACACACACAGTGAGACACACACACAGTGAGACACACACAGAGACACACACACAGTGAGACACACACACACACAGTGAGACACACACAGAGTGAGACACACACACACAGTGAGACACACACACAGTGAGACACACACACACAGTGAGACACACACACACACAGTGAGACACACACAGAGTGAGACACACACACACAGTGAGACACACACACAGTGAGACACACACACACAGTGAGACACACACACAGTGAGACACACACAGAGACACACACACAGTGAGACACACACACACAGTGAGACACACACACAGTGAGACACACACACACAGTGAGACACACACAGAGTGAGACACACACACACAGTGAGACACACACACAGTGACACACACACAGAGACACACACACAGTGAGACACACACACACACAGTGAGACACACACAGAGTGAGACACACACACACAGTGAGACACACACACAGTGAGACACACACACAGTGAGACACACACACACAGTGAGACACACACAGAGTGAGACACACACACACAGTGAGACACACACAGAGTGAGACACACACACACAGTGAGACACACACACAGTGAGACACACACAGAGACACACACACAGTGAGACACACACACACAGTGAGACACACACACACAGTGAGACACACACACAGAGTGAGACACACACACACAGTGAGACACACACACAGTGAGACACACACACACAGTGAGACACACACACAGTGAGACACACACACAGTGAGACACACACACAGTGAGACACACACACACAGTGAGACACACACAGTGAGCCACACACACACACAGTGAGACACACAGTGAGACACACACACACACAGTGAGACACACACACACAGTGAGACACACACACACACAGTGAGACACACACACACAGTGAGACACACACACAGTGAGACACACACACACAGTGAGACACACACACACAGTGAGACACACACAGTGAGACACACACCCACAGTGAGACACACACACACACAGTGAGACACACAGTGAGACACACACACACACAGTGAGACACACACACAGTGAGACACACACAGTGAGACACACACACGGAGTGACACACACACGGAGTGAGACACACACACGGAGACACACACACACACACACACGGAGTGAGACACACACGGAGTGAGACACGTGTGTGTGCGTGTCTGAGAGAGAGAGAGAGACGACATCCGAGAGCGTCGCACCGTCAGATCTGTGTGCAGCAGCAGAAGCAGCTTGGTATGGCTGGGGTCGCCCGCTGTGCCCGCAGCCTCCGCCTGCCGCTGCTCCTGCTGCTGCTCCTGCTGCTGCTGCTGCTGCTGCAGCTGCAGCGGCTGCAGCAGCAGCGTCTGGAGCAGCGGGGTGGTGAGCGTGGCCGTGGCCGAGGGGGTGAGCGTGGCCGAGGGGTCCGTTGGAGGTGCGCTGGGGGGGTTGGTGGAGTCTGTGCGGGGAGTCGCTCGTCCCGAGATGGGGTTGAACTCGACGAGGGAGGGCAGCGACGTGACCTGGCGGGGGGGGGGGACGGGAGAGGGGGAGAGGGGGAGAGACACGGGGAGAGACAGGGGGAGAGAGAGAGACACGGGGAGAGACACGGGGAGAGAGAGAGAGACACGGGGAGAGACACGGGGAGAGACACGGGGAGAGAGAGAGACACGGGGAGAGAGAGAGACACGGGGAGAGACACGGGGAGAGAGACACGGGGAGAGAGAGAGACACGGGGAGAGAGAGAGACACGGGGAGAGACACGGGGAGAGAGACACGGGGAGAGAGAGAGACACGGGGAGAGAGAGAGACACGGGGAGAGACACGGGGGGAGAGACACGGGGAGAGAGAGAGACACGGGGAGAGAGAGAGACACGGGGAGAGAGAGAGAGAGACACACGGGGAGAGACACGGGGCGGGAGAGGGGGAGAGAGAGAGACACGGGGAGGGGGAGAGAGAGACACGGGGAGAGAGAGAGAGACACGGGGAGAGAGAGAGAGACACGGGGAGAGAGAGAGAGAGAGACACGGGGAGAGAGAGAGAGAGAGACACGGGGAGAGAGACACGGGGAGAGACACGGGGAGAGAGAGACACGGGGAGAGAGAGACACGGGGAGAGAGAGACACACAGGGAGAGACACACGGGGAGAGAGAGAGACACGGGGAGAGAGAGAGAGACACGGGGAGAGAGAGAGAGAGACACGGGGAGAGAGAGAGACATGGGGAGAGAGACACGGGGAGAGAGAGAGAGAGAGACACGGGGAGACAGAGAGAGACACGGGGAGAGAGAGAGACACGGGGAGAGAGACACGGGGAGAGAGAGAGACACGGGGAGAGAGAGAGAGACACGAGGAGAGACACGGGGAGAGAGACACGGGGAGAGAGAGAGCGACACGGGGAGAGAGAGAGACACGGGGAGAGAGAGAGAGAGAGAGACACGGGGAGAGACATGGGGCGGGAGAGGGGGAGAGAGAGAGAGACACGGGGAGGGGGAGAGAGAGACACGGGGAGAGAGAGAGAGACACGGGGAGAGAGAGAGACACGGGGAGAGAGAGAGAGAGACACGGGGAGAGAGAGACACGGGGAGAGAGAGAGACACGGGGAGAGAGAGACACGGGGAGAGAGAGACACGGGGAGAGAGAGACACGGGGAGAAAGACACGGGGGGAGAGATACGGGGGGAGAGACACGGGGGGAGAGAGACACGGGGAGAGAGACACGGGGGGAAGAGAGAGACACAGGGAGAGAGACACGGGGAGAAGAGAGAGAGACACGGGGGGAAGAGAGAGACACGGGGAGAGAGACACGGGGGGGAGAGAGAGACACGGGGAGAGAGACACACGGGGAGAGAGACACAGTTAGAAAGAGTTGTGAGTGGTTGTGAATGGTATTACTAGTAGTAGTGATTGGTAGTAGTGGTAGTGAGTGGTAGTAGTAGTGGTAGTAGTAGAGAGTGAATGGTACTAGTGGTAGTAGTAGTGGTAGTAGTAGTGGTAGTAGTAGTGGTAGTAGTAGTAGTGGTAGTGAGTGGTAGTAGTAGTGGTAGTAGTGGTAGTAGTAGTGGTAGTAGTAGTGGTAGTAGTAGTGGTAGTAGTAGTGGTAGTAGTAGTGGTAGCAGTGGTAGTGATTGGTAGTAGTAGTGGTTGTAGTGGTAGTAGTAGTGGTAGTAGTAGTGGTAGTAGTAGTGGTAGCAGTGGTAGTGATTGGTAGTAGTAGTGGTTGCAGTGGTAGTGAGTGGTAGTGGTAGTAGTAGTGAGTGGTAGTGGTAGTAGTAGTGGTAGTAGTGGTAGTGAGTGGTAGTGGTAGTAGTAGTGGTAGTGAGTGGTAGTGAGCGGTAGTAGCAGTGGTAGTAGTGGTAGTGAGTGGTAGTAGTAGTGGTAGGAGTAGTGGTAGTAGTAGTAGTGGTAGTAGTGGTAGTGAGTGGTAGTAGTAGTGGTAGTAGTAGTGGTAGTAGTAGTGGTAGTAGTAGTGGTAGTAGTAGTGGTAGTAGTAGTAGTGGTAGTAGTAGTGAGTGGTGGTAGTAGTAGTAGTGGTAGTGAGTGGTAGTAGTAGTAGTGGTACTAGTAGTGGTACTAGAAGTACTCACCGGGTCCCTGAGTACCAGGGTACACAGCGGGGGGTGGGGGTAGTGAGCGGTACTAGTAGTGGTACTAGTAGTGGTACTAGTACTAGTAGTACTCACCGGGTCCCTGAGTACCAGGGTACACAGCGGGGGGTGGGGGTAGTGAGCGGTACTAGTAGTGGTACTAGTAGTGGTACTAGACGTGCGAGTACTCACCGGGTCCCTGAGTACCAGGGTACACAGCGGGGGGTGGGGGTAGTGAGCGGTACTAGTAGTGGTACTAGAAGTACTCACCGGGTCCCTGAGTACCAGGGTACACAGCAGTGGGTGGGGGTAGTGAGTGGTACTAGTACTGGTACTAGAAGTACTCACGGGGTCCCTGAGTACCAGGGTACACAGCGGGGGGGGGGGGTAGTGAGCGGTACTAGTAGTGGTACTAGTAGTGGTACTAGTACTAGAAGTACTCACCGGGTCCCTGAGTACCAGGGTACACAGCGGGGGGTGGGGGTAGTGAGCGGTACTAGTAGTGGTATTAGAAGTACTCACCGGGTCCCTGAGTACCAGGGTACACAGCGGGGGGCGGGGGTAGTGAGCGGTACTAGTAGTAGTGGTACTAGTAGTGGTAGTAGTAGTGGTAGTAGTAGTGGTACTAGTAGTGGTAGTGGTACTAGTAGTGATACTAGTAGTAGTGGTACTAGTAGTAGTGGTACTAGTAGTGATACTAGTAGTAGTAGAAGTACTCACCGGGTCCCTGAGTACCAGGGTACACAGCGGAGGGTGGAAGTAGTGAGCGGTACTAGTAGTGGTAGTAGTAGTGGTAGTAGTAGTGGTAGTAGTAGTGGTAGTGGTACTAGTAGTGATACTAGTAGTAGTGGTACTAGTACTAGAAGTACTCACGGGGTCCCTGAGTACCAGGGTACACAGCGGGGGGTGGGGGTAGTGAGCGGTAGTAGTAGTGGTAGTAGTACTAGTACTAGAAGTACTCACCGGGTCCCTGAGTACCAGGGTACACAGCGGGGGGTGGGGGTAGTGAGTGGTACTAGTAGTGGTACTAGTAGTGGTAGTAGTAGTAGAAGTACTCACGGGGTCCCTGAGTACCAGGGTACACAGCGGGGGGTGGGGGTAGTGAGCGGTAGTAGTAGTAGTGGTAGTAGTAGTGGTACTAGAAGTGTGAGTACTCACGGGGTCCCTGAGTACCAGGGTACACAGCGGGGGGTGGGGGTAGTGAGCGGTACTAGTAGTAGTGGTACTAGTAGTGGTAGTAGTACTAGAAGTACTCACGGGGTCCCTGAGTACCAGGGTACACAGCGGGGGGTGGGGGTAGTGAGCGGTACTAGTAGTAGTGGTACTAGTAGTGGTAGTAGTACTAGAAGTACTCACGGGGTCCCTGAGTACCAGGGTACACAGCGGGGGGTGGGGGTAGTGAGCGGTACTAGTAGTAGTGGTACTAGTAGTGGTAGTAGTACTAGAAGTACTCACGGGGTCCCTGAGTACCAGGGTACACAGCGGGCGGTGGGGGTAGTGAGCGGTAGTAGTAGTGGTAGTAGTAGTGGTACTAGAAGTGTGAGTACTCAAGGGGTCCCTGAGTACCAGGGTACACAGCGGGGGGTGGGGGTAGTGAGCGGTACTAGTAGTGGTACTAGTAGTGGTACTAGTAGTAGTAGTAGTGGTACTAGTAGTGGTAGTAGTAGTGGTGGTAGTGATAGTGAGTGGTAGTAGTAGTAGTAATAGTAGTAGTAGAAGTACTCACCGGGTCCCTGAGTACCAGGGTACACAGCGGGGGGTGGGGGTAGTGAGTGGTACTAGTACTGGTACTAGAAGTACTCACGGGGTCCCTGAGTACCAGGGTACACAGCGGGGGGTGGGGGTAGTGAGCGGTACTAGTAGTGGTATTAGTAGTGGTACTAGTAGTAGAAGTACTCACCGGGTCCCTGAGTACCAGGGTACACAGCGGGGGGTGGGGGTAGTGAGTAGTAGTAGTGGTAGTAGTAGTAAGCGGTAGTAGTAGTGGTACTAGTAGTGGTACTAGTAGTAGAAGTACTCACGGGGTCCCTGAGTACCAGGGTACACAGCGGGGGGTGGGGGGTAGTGAGCGGTACTAGTAGTGGTAGTAGTAGTGGTAGTAGTAGTGGTACTAGTACTAGTAGTAGAAGTACTCACGGGGTCCCTGAGTACCAGGGTACACAGCGGGGGGTGGGGGTAGTGAGCGGTCCCGCGCTGTGCCACCAGCCGTAGGGGCTCTCTGTGCCTGGCGTCTTCCACCAGCAGGAGTCTCCACACCAAGCGACCTCCACCACTCTCCATGCCCACCAGCTGGGGGGTGGGCGGGGCGAGGGGGGTGGGCGGGGCGAGGGGAGGGGCGTAAGAGACAAAAGGGGCCGTCCGTAAATGACGTCACTCACTACCACTACTACTACCACACTACTACTACTACCACGCACTACTACTACTACTACCACTACACCAAGCGACCTCCACCACTCTCCATGCCCACCAGCTGGGGGGTGGGCGGGGCGAGGGGAGGGGCGAGGGGAGGGGCGAGGGGAGGGGCGAGGGGAGGGGCGAGGGGAGGGGCGTTAGAGACAAAAGGGGCCGTCCGTAAATGACGTCACTCACTACCACCACTGCTACCACTACTACTACTACACCACTACTACTACCACTACTACACTACCACTACTACTACACCACTACTACTACCACTACTACACTACCACTACTACTACACCACTACTACTACCACTACTACTACCACTACTACCACTACTACTACCACTACTACTACTACTACACCACTACTACTACCACCACTACTACTACCACTACTACTACCACTACTACTACTCACTACCACTACTACCACTCACTACCACTACTACCACCACTCACTACCACCACTACTACTACCACTACTACTACCACTACTACCACCCCTACTACCACTCACTACCACCACAACTACTACTACCACTACTACCACCACTACCACTACTACTACTCACTACCACTACTACCACTACTACTACCACTACTACCACTACTACTACCACCATTACTACAAGCACTACTACTACCACTACTACTACCACCACTACTACCACTCACTACCACGACTACTACCACTACGACTACCACTCACTACCACTACTACCACTCACTACCACTACTACTACCACTCACTACCACTACTACTACCACTACTACTACCACTACCACCACCACTACCACCACCACTACCACCACCACTACCACCACTACTACCCCTACTACTACCACTCACTACCACTACCACTCACTACCACTACTACTACCACTACTCTCACTACTACTACCACTCACTACCACTACTACTACCACTCACTACCACTACCACTCACTACCACTACTACTACCACTACTACTACCACTCACTACAACTCCTACTACCACTACTACTACCACTACTACACTATTGTAAAACAATCAAATTATTATTCTTGGTTCTTTCGGTTAAAGTCACCACCGCCACGTAGATAGGGGAAACAATAAAATAATAAAAATATAAAACAATAAAATTCTCACGACGTTTCGACTGCAACACAAGAAGCAATCATCATCATCCTGGCTCTAAGGAGGCTTATTGCTCCCACAAGTTATGGCGAAACTTGTTCTCTTGGTATAAGAAGGCTGCGTCGACAGGAGGGAGTGGGGGGGGGAAGGGGAGGGAGACACCACCATCACCACCATCACCACCATCACCATCACCACCATCACCATCACCACCATCACCACCATCACCATCACCACCATCACCATCACCACCATCACCATCACCACCACCACCACCATCACCACCATCACCATCATCACCACCACCATCACCATCATCACCACCATCACCACCATCACCACCACCACCATCACCACCATCACCACCATCACCACCACCACCATCACCACCATCACCACCACCATCACCACCATCACCACCATCACCACCAACACCACCATCACAACACCACCATCGCCACCACCATCACCACCACCATCACCACCATCACCACCACCATCACCAACATCACCACCACCACCACCATCACCACCACCATCACCACCATCACCACCAACACCACCATCACAACACCACCATCACCACCACCACCATCACCACCATCACAACACCACCACCATCACCATCATCACAACACCACCACCACCACCATCACCACCATCACAACACCACCATCACAACATCACCACCATCACAACACCACCATCACAACACCACCACCGTCACCGTCCCACCTTGCCGGCCCCCGTCACCATCACCATCATCTTGCGGATGTTGAAGTCGTCCCTGGCGAGCGTCTCGTGCGGCAGTGCGGCCGTGGCGCCCGCCCACGGCGACGGCGATGACGACGATGATGACGACGATGACGACGATGACGACGACGATGACGACGATGATGACGATGACGACGATGATGACGACGATGATGACGATGACGATGACGACGGCGACGATGATGATGACGATGACGACGATGGACCCATCCTCTTCCCCGAGGACGAGGTTGGCGGCGGCGGCGATGAGGTGGGCGACGGCGACGAGGTGGAGGGGCGACGAGCGTCCGCGAAGGCGCGCAGCGAGCGGAGCAGCCAGGCCTGCAGCAGGCCGGCCTGGGAGCTCAGCCGCTGGGCAAAGGAGAAGATCAGGCCGCCTAGTGGGGGGGTGGTGGGGGGGGGTGGTGGGGGGGTGGTGGGGGGGTGGTGGGGGGGTGGTGGTGGGGGGGTGGTGGGGGGCGTGCGGTCACCATCAACACCACCATCACCATCATCAACACCACCATCAACACCACCATCAACAGGACCATCAACACCACCATCAACACCATCAACACCACCATCACCATCATCAACACCACCATCAACACCATCAACACCACCATCAACACCACCATCAACAGGACCATTAGCACCACCATCAACACCACCATCAACACCACCATCAACACCATCAACACCACCATCAACAGGACCATTAGCACCACCATCAACACCATCAACACCATCAACACCAACACCATCAACACCACCATCAACACCAACATCAACACCATCAACACCATCAACACCACCATCAACACCACCATCAACACCACCATCATCACCATCAACACCATCAACATCATCAACATCATCAACACCACCATCAACACCACCAATACCATCATCACCATCAACACCATCAACATCATCAACACCATCAACACCACCATCAACACCATCAACACCACCATCAACAGGTCCATTAGCACCACCATCAACACCATCATCAACACCATCAACACCACCATCAACACCAACATCAACACCACCATCAACACCATCAACACCATCAACACCACCATCAACACCATCATCAACACCATCAACACCACCATCAACACCAACATCAACACCAACATCAACACCACCATCAACACCATCAACACCATCAACACCACCATCAACACCACCATCAACACCACCATCAACACCACCATCATCACCATCAACACCACCATCAACACCATCAACATCATCAACACCATCAACACCACCATCAACACCATCAACACCACCATCAACAGGTCCATTAGCACCACCATCAACACCATCAACACCACCATCAACACCACCATCAACAGGACCATCAGCACCACCATCAACACCACCATCAACACCATCATCAACACCATCATCACCATCAACACCATCAACACCACCATCAACACCACCATCAACACCACCATCAACAGGACCATCAACACCATCATCACCATCAACACCACCATCAACACCACCATCAACACCATCAACACCACCATCAACACCACCATCAACAGGACCATCAGCACCACCATCAGCACCACCATCAGCACCACCATCAACACCATCAACACCACCATCAACACCACCATCAACACCATCATCAACACCACCATCAACACCACCATCAACACCACCATCAACACCACCAACACCACCATCAACAAGACCATCAACAGGACCATCAACAGGACCATCAGCACCACCATCAACAGGACCATCAACACCACCATCGACACCATCATCAACACCACCATCAACACCAACATCAACACCATCAACACCATCATCAACACCATCAACACCATCATCAACACCACCATCAACACCAACATCAACACCACCATCAACACCATCAACACCACCATCAACACCACCATCAACACCACCATCAACACCACCATCATCACCATCAACACCACCATCAACACCATCAACATCATCAACACCATCAACACCACCATCAACACCACCATCAACAGGTCCATTAGCACCACCATCAACACCATCAACACCACCATCAACAGGACCATCAGCACCACCATCAACACCACCATCAACACCATCATCAACACCATCATCACCATCAACACCATCAACACCACCATCAACACCATCATCAACACCACCATCAACAACACCACCATCAACTCCATCAACACCACCATCAACAGGACCATCAACAGGACCATCAACACCACCATCAACAGGACCATCAACACCATCATCACCATCAACACCACCATCAACACCACCATCAACACCATCAACACCACCATCAACACCACCATCAACACCACCATCAACACCACCATCAACAGGACCATCAGCACCACCATCAGCACCACCATCAACACCACCATCAACACCACCATCACCATCAACACCATCAACACCACCATCAACACCATCATCAACACCACCATCAACACCACCAACACCACCATCAACAGGACCATCAACAGGACCATCAACAGGACCATCAACACCACCATCAACAGGACCATCAGCACCACCATCAGCACCACCATCAACACCACCATCAACACCACCATCAACACCACCATCAACACCACCATCAACACCATCAACACCACCATCAACACCACCATCAACACCACCATCAACACCACCATCAACACCACCATCAACACCAACATCAACACCACCATCAACACCACCATCAACACCACCATCAACACCACCATCAACAGGACCATCAGCACCACCATCAGCACCACCATCAACACCATCATCACCATCAACACCACCATCAACACCATCATCAACACCACCATCAACACCACCAACACCACCATCAACAGGACCATCAACAGGACCATCAACAGGACCATCAACACCACCATCAACAGGACCATCAGCACCACCATCAGCACCACCATCAACACCACCATCAACACGACCATCAACACCACCATCAACACCACCATCAACACCACCATCAACACCATCAACACCACCATCAACACCACCATCAACACCACCATCAACACCACCATCAACACCACCATCAACACCAACATCAACACCACCATCAACACCACCATCAACACCACCATCAACAGGACCATCAACACCACCATCAACAGGACCATCAGCACCACCATCAACACCACCATCAACACCATCATCACCATCAACACCATCATCAACACCACCATCAACACCACCATCAACACCACCATCAGCACCACCATCAACACCACCATCAACACCACCATCAACACCACCATCAACACCATCAACACCACCATCAACACCATCATCAACACCACCATCAACACCATCAACAGGACCATCAACAGGACCATCAACACCACCATCAACACCACCATCACCACCACCATCAACAGGACCATCGGCACCACCATCAACACCATCAACAGCACCATTAGCACCACCATCAACACCACTAACACCATCAACAACACCATCAACAGGACCATTGGCACCACCCAACACCATCAACACCACCAACACCACCATCAACAACACCACCATCAACACCACCATCAACACCATCAACAGGACCATTAGCACCACCACCACCGCTACACACCAGGCAAACTCATTTGAGGCTGAGTCGACCTAGGGGAGAAGGCCCAGGTACCCGGTTCAGATAATCGTCACTGTGGTGTTCAACATGAACAAGACAAAGCTCTCCCGTGTAGCCTGTAACAGGCTGTAGGGGCAAGTGCTGCTAGTGAGTAGCAGGGTCTATGAAGGCTACCGGGGCACTGTGGGTCACACACAGAGGGGGTGGGTGGCCCAGCAGCACCACGCCCGGCCGTCTTTGTCTCTCCCCCAGTGCTAGCGATGTTCACTACACCACCACCACCACCACTACACCACCACCACTACACCACCACCACCACCACTACTACACCACCACCACCACTACACCACCACCGCTACACCACCGCTACATCACCACCACCACTACACCACCACCACTACACCACCACCACCACCACCACACCACCACCACACCACCACTACACCACCACCACTGCTACACCACCACCACTGCTACCCCACCACCACTGCTACACCACTACCACCACCACCACCACACCACCACTACACCACCACCACCACTACACCACCACCACTACACCACTACCACCACTACACCACCACTACTACTACACCACCACCACACCACCACCGCTACATCACCACCACCACTACACCACCACCACCACTGCTACACCACCACCACTGCTACATCACCACCACCGCTACACCACCACCACACCACCACCACCACCACCACACCACCACCACCACACCACCGCTACACCACCACCACCACCACCACACCACCGCTACACCACCACCACCACCACACCACCACCACCACCACACCACCGCTACACCACCACCACCACCACACCACCGCTACACCACCACCACCACCACACCACCAACACAGACAAAGGATCCCCACCCCCTCCCCCCCCGGTGTAGCCTCGACAGACTGCCGGGGCAAGTGCTGCTTTACCTCCGACGCCGCCTTCCCTCCACAGCCGTGCCCGCAGGGGTTGAGGGGGGTACACGGGGAGATGTCACAGAGCGGGTTGGGGACATTCAGCGGGGCCAGGGGGGGTGGACGCACGCACACGTGTGTGTGTACGTGTGTGCGTGTGTGTGTACGTGTGTGTGTGTGTGTGCGTGTGTGTGTACGTGTGTGTGTGCGTGTGTGTGTGTGCCCACATTCACCCACTCACCTACCCACCCACTCGCTCGCCCATTCACCCACCCACTCGCCAACCCACCTACCACACACTCGCCCGCCCGCCCGCCCGCCCGCTCAACCACCCACCCATCCACTCACGAACTCACCCACCCACCCACTAAGGCACCCACTCACTCACCCACCCACTCACTCACCCACCCACTCACGAACTCACACACCCACCCACTAATGCACCCACTCACTCACCCACCCACTCACTCACCCACCCCACCCACTCACTCACCCACCCACCCACTCACCCACCCACCCACTCACTCACTCAGCCACAAACCCACTCACCCACCCACTCACCCATCCATCCACCCATCCACCCACACACGAACTCACCCACCCACCCACTAATGCACCCACTCACTCACTCACCTACCCAGTAATCCACCCACTCACCCACCCACCCACTCACCCACCCAGTAATCCACCTACCCACTCACCCACCCACCAATCCACCCACCCACTAATCCACCCACCCACTAATCCACCCACCCACTCACCCACCCACTCACCCACCCACTCACCCACACACTAATCCACCCACCCACTAATCCACCCACCCACTCACCCACTCACCCACCAATCCACCCACCCACTCACTAATCCACCCACCCACTCACTCACCCACCCACTAATCCACCCACCCACTCACCCACCCACTAATCCACCCACCCACTCACCAGTTTTCTTGCTGAAACCTCCCTCCAGCTCAGCCTGGGTGCTGGTGAGAGGCAGATCCACAAGCTCCATCATCACCACGTGACCCAGAGCCTCCTCCCTGAGCCACATCACCCTCCCTGCAACATCACCACCATCATCACCATCATCACCACGTGACCCAGAGCCTCCTCCCTGAGCCACATCACCCTCCCTGCAACATCACCACCATCACCATCATCATCACTATCATCATCATCACCCTCCCTGCATCACCAACATCACCACCATCACCATCATTACCATCATCACCTCCATCATCACCACGTGACCCAGACCCTCCTCCCTAAGCCACATCACCCTCCCTGCAACATCACCACCATCATCATCATCACCATCATCATCATCACCACCATCACCACCATCATCATCACCATCATCATCACCATCATCATCATCACCACCACCATCACCATCATCACCATCACTACCATCACCACCATCATCACCATCATCATCACCACGTCACCCAGAGCCTCCTCCCTGAGCCACATCACCCTCCCTGCACCATCACCATCATCACCACCATCATCATCACCACCATCACCACCATCATCACCATCACCGCCGTCACCACCACCACCACCATCATCATCACTACGATCACTGCCATCACAACCATCACTACCACCACCACCATCATCATCACTACGATCACTACAATCACCATTACTACCATCACCACCATCACTACCACCTCCTCCTCCACCACCACCACCACCACCTCCACCACGTCCACGTCCACCACCACCACCTCCACCACCACCACCACGTCCACCACCACCTCCACCACCACGTCCACCACCACGACCACCACCACGTCCACCACCACCACCTCCACCACCACCACGTCCACCACCACCTCCACCACCACCTCCACCTCCACCTCCACCACCTCACCAGGTTGGTGAACCATGAGCAGGGAGTAGTCGTCCATCTTGATGAGGATGCGGTATCCCACAGAGTCGTCCTTCTTGAGGAAGACGTTCACAAACATCTGGGGTGGACATCCGGGCGACCAGTTAAGACAGCCGTGTGGGTGACTAGTTAGCCGTGTGGGTGACTAGTTAGACAGCCGTGTGGGTGACTAGTTAGCCGTGTGGGTGACTAGTTAGCTGTGTGGGTGGCTAGTTAGACAACCGTGTGGGTGACTAGTTAGCCGTGTCGGTGACTAGTTAGACAACCGTGTGGGTGACTAGTTAGACGTGTGGGTGACTAGTTAGACAACTGTGTGAGTGACTAGTTAGCTGTGTGGGTGACTAGACAACCGTGTGGGTGACTAGTTAGACAGCCGTGTGGGTGACTAGTTAGCCGTGTGTGTGACTAGTTAGACAACCGTGTGGGTGGCTAGTTAGACATCCGTGTGGGTGACTAGTTAGCCGTGTGGGTGACTAGTTAGACAACTGTGTGGGTGACAAGTTAGACAACCGTGTGGGTGACTAGTTAGCCGTGTGGGTGACTAGTTAGACAGCCGTGTGGGTGACTAGTTAGCCGTGTGGGTGACTAGTTAGACAACCGTGTGGGTGACTAGTTAGCCGTGTGGGTGACTAGTTAGACAACCGTGTGGGTGACTAGTTAGCCGTGTGGGTGACTAGTTAAGACAACCGTGTGGGTGACTAGTTAGCCGTGTGGGTGACTAGTTAGCCGTGTGGGTGACTAGTTAGACAGCCGTGTGGGTGACTAGTTAGCCGTGTGGGTGACTAGTTAGACAGCCGTGTGGGTGACTAGTTAGCCGTGTGGGTGACTAGTTAGCCGTGTGGGTGACTAGTTAGCTGTGTGGGTGACCAGTTAGCCATGTGGGTGACTAGTTAGCCATGTAGGTGACTAGTTAGCCGTGTGGGTGACTAGTTAGCTGTGTGGGTGACTAGTTAGACAGCCGTGTGGGTGACTAGTTAGACAGCCATGTGGGTGACTAGTTAGCCGTGTGGGTGACTAGTTAGCTGTGTGGGTGACTATTTAGACAGCCGTGTGGGTGACTAGTTAGCTGTGTGGGTGACTACTTAGACAGCCGTGTGGGTGTGCTAGTTAGATGTGTGGGTGACTATTTAGACAGCCGTGTGGGTGACTAGTTAGATGTTCGTGAGGGTGACTAGCTGGGTGACTAGCTAGGTGACTAGTTAGCTGTGTGGGTGACTAGTTAGACAGCCGTGTGGGTGACGAGTTAGATGTTCGTGAGGGTGACTAGGCAGGTGACTAGCTGGGTGACTAGTTAGCTGTGTGGGTGCCTAGTTAGACAGCCGTGTGGGTGACGAGTTAGATGTTCGTGAGGGTGACTAGGTGGGTGACTAGCTAGGTGACTAGTTAGCTGTGTGGGTGACTATTTAGACAGCCGTGTGGGTGACGAGTTAGATGTTCGTGAGGGTGACTAGGTGGGTGACTAGCTGGGTGACTAGTTAGCGGTGTGGGTGACTAGTTAGCTGTGTGGGTGACTAGTTAGACAGCCGTGTGGGTGACGAGTTAGATGTTCGTAAGGGTGACTAGGTGGGTGACTAGCTGGGTGACTAGTTAGCTGTGTGGGTGACTATTTAGACAGCCGTGTGGGTGACTAGTTAGATGTTCATAAGGGTGACTAGGTGGGTGACTAGCTAGGTGACTAGTTAGCTGTGTGGGTGACTAGTTAGACAGCCGTGTGGGTGACGAGTTAGATGCTCGTGAGGGTGACTAGGTGGGTGACTAGCTGGGTGACTAGGTGGGTGACTAGCTGGGTGACTAGGTGGGTGACTAGCTGGGTGACTAGGTGGGTGACTAGGTGGGTGACCTTTTCGGGTGAGCCGGTGTTGAGATCGACAGTGAAGGTGAGCGTGGAGTCCGTGAGCCGTCGCCCACTGGACACGGAGTACAGGCTCACTGTGTAGGCCTGAACACACACACACACAGTACACACATACACACTCACACATACACACAGTACACACACACACAGTACACACGTACACACACAGTACACACATACACACACAGTACACACATACAGTACACACACACACACAGTTCACACACAGTACACACACACACGTACACACACAGTACACACACACACACGTTACACACACACAGTACACACATACACTCACACACACAGTACACACACGTACACACAGTACACACACACACTACACACACGTACACACACACAGTAAACACACACAGTACACACATACACACAGTACACACACAGTACACACGTACACACACACGTACACACGTACACACACACAGTACACACATATACACACACGTACAAACGCACACACACATCGTACAAACATACACACACATGTACACACGTACACACGTACACACACACACACACACACGTACACACACACAGTACACACACACAGTACACACACAGTACACACAGTTCACACATACACAACAGTACACACATTACACACACAACAGTACACACGTACACACACGTACACACACAGTACACACAGTTCACACACAGTTCACACACAGTACACACACAGTACACAGTACACACAGTACACACACAGTTCACACACAGTACACACACAGTACACAGTGCACACACAGTACACACACAGTACGCACAGTACACACACAGTACACACACATAGTACACACAGTACACACACACACAGTACACACGTACACACACATAGTACACACATACACACAGTACACATACACACAGTACAAACATACACACAGTACACACACACACTACACACACAGTACACACACACACGTACACACACACACTACACACACAGTACACACACACACACGTACACACACACACGTACACACACACACGTACACTCACACACACACAGTACACACACATAAACGTACACACACAGTACACACACACAGTACACATACACACACATGCACACACACACAGTACACATACACACACACACACACCGTACACACATACACACACAGTACACACATACACACACACAGTACACACAGACACACACAAATACACACACGTACACACGTACACACGCACACACACACATAAACACAGCACACACGCACGTACACACAGCACACACATAGCGCACACAGCACGCGTACACACACACGAACACACACACACACGTACACACACACGTACACACACACACACAAACACGTACACACACACGTACACATACACACACGTACACACACAGTACACACACACAGTACACATACACAGTACACACACACACATGCACACACACAGTACACATACACACACATGCACACACACAGTACACATACATACACATGCACACACACACAGTACACACATACACGCACAAGTACACACGTACACACACAGACACACACGTACACACACAGACACACACGTACACACACAGACACGCACGTACACACACGCACGTACACCCACGCACGTACACCCACGCACGTACACGCGTACACACGTACACACACACGTACACACGTACACACACACACAGTACACACAGTACACACATACTACACACACACACGTACACACACGTACACACACACGTACACACACACACGTACACCCACGCACGTACACACGTGTATGTATGCACACACACAGTACACATACATACACATGCACACACACAGTACACACACACACATACACACACACACGTACACATACATACACGTACACACGTACACACACACACGTACACATACATACACGTACACACGTACACACACACACACACACAGTATACACAGAGTACACACGTACACACACGCACGTACACACGTACACACACACACACACACGTACACACACACACACGTACACACACACACGTACACCCACGCACGTACACACACACACGTACACCCACGCACGTACACACGTACACACACACGCACACACGTACACACATACACGTACACACACGTACAACCACGCACGTACACACGTACACACGTACACACACACACGTACACACACACACGTGTATGTATGCACACAAACCGTTTGGTTTTTCTGGCTGAGCGCTGCCATGAACCAGCGGTCCCCTGCAGACGCGAAGCTCACGAGCAGCGTCTACACGCACACACACACACACACAGACAGACAGAAAGACACACAGAGATACACACAGACACACACACACAGACACACACAGACAGAGATACACACAGAGACACACACACAGACACACACAGGCAGAGATACACACAGAGACACACACACAGACAGACACACACACACAGACAGAGATACACACAGAGACACACACACAGACACACACAGACAGAGATACACACAGAGACACACACACAGACACACACACACAGAGACACACACACAGACAGACACACACAGACAGAGATACACACAGAGACACACACACAGACACACAGACACACACAGACAGAGATACACACAGAGACACACACACAGACAGACAGACACACACAGACAGAGATACACACACACAGACAGACACACACAGACAGACAGAAAGACACACAGAGACACACACACACAGACACACACAGACAGAGATACACACAGAGACACACACACAGACACACAGACACACACAGACAGAGATACACACAGAGACACACACACAGACAGACAGACACACACACACAGACAGAGATACACACAGAGACACACACACAGACACACACAGACAGAGATACACACAGAGACACACACACAGACACACAGACACACACAGACAGACACACACACAGAGACACACACACAGACACACAGACACACACAGACAGAGATACACACAGACACACACACACAGACACACACACACAGACACACACAAACACACACAGACAGACACACACAGACAGACACACACACACAGACACACACACAGACAGACAGACACACACAGAGATACACACAGAGACACACACACAGACACACACAGACAGAGATACACACAGAGACACACACACAGACAGACAGACACACACAGACAGAGATACACACAGAGACACACACACAGACACACACAGACAGAGATACACACAGAGACACACACACAGACACACACACACAGACAGAGACACACACACAGACACACACACAGACACACACAAACACACACAGACAGACACACACAGACACACACACACAGTGATACACACACACAGACACACACACAGACAGAAATACACAGAGTTAGACACACAGCCCCCCAGCCAGTCAGCCCCCCAGCCAGCCCCCCAGTCAGCCCCCCAGCCAGCCAGCCCCCCAGTCAGCCCCCCAGCCAGCCAGCCAGTCAGTCAGCCCCCCAACCAGCCAGCCAGCCAGTCAGTCAGCCCCCCAGTCAGTCAGCCCCCCAATCAGTCAGCCCCCCAGTCAGTGAGCCCCCCAGCCAGCCAGCCCCCCCACTCGCTCTGGGGAACTCCGTGAGTCAGCCAGTCACTCAGTTAGTCAGTTAGTTAGTCAGTCAGTCACTCAGTTAGTCAGGCAGTCAGTCAGTCACTCGCTCACTCAGTTACTCACTCAGCCAGCCAGTCAGCCAGCTAGTCAGTCAGCCCCCCAGACAGCCCCCCAGCCAGCCAGCCCCCAGTCAGCCCCCCAGCCAGCCCCCCAGTCAGTTAGCCCCCCAACCAGTCAGCCCTCCAGTCAGTCAGCCCCCCCACCAGTCAGCCCCCCAGCCAGCCCCCCAGTCAGCCCCCCAGCCAGTGAGCCCCCCTTGGGTGCTCACGCTGGGCAGGTCCTTGAGTAGGCCGAGGGAGGCGGAGGCGGAGGAGGCGGAGGAGGAGGAGGCAGTGGAGGAGGAGGAGGCAGAGGAGGAGGAGGAGGATGCCTCCCCTTGCTCGTCGAGGGAGAGCAGCGCGTGGTGGTGGTGGTGGTGGGACCCGGACTGTACCACCACGCGGGGCGGAGAGGGGGGGCCCTGCAGCGACGAGGCCACGGGCAGCAGGCGGGGGGTGGAGCCGGGCTCTACCAACACGCCCACAGACTGCGGGGGGGGAGGGAGGGGGGGGGAGAGACTCAGGGTGTGAAGATTGACTCAGTCACCCACCCACTCACTCACCCACTCACTCACCCACCCACTCACCCACCCACTCACCCACCCACTCACCCACCCACTCACTCACCCACCCACTCACCCACTCACTCACCCACCCACTCACCCACTCACTCACCCACCCACTCACCCACTCACTCACTCACCCACCCACTCACCCACCCACTCACCCACCCACCCACTCACCCACTCACCCACCCACTCACCCACTCACCCAACCACCTACCCACTCACCCACCCACTCACTCACCCACCCACTCACTCACTCACCCACTCACCCACCCACTCACCCACCCACTCACTCACTCACCCAACCATCCATCCACCCACTCACTCACCCATCCACCCACTCACCCACTCACTGAATCACCCACCCACTCACTCACTCACCCACTCACTCACTCACCCACTCACTCACCCACCCACCCACCCACTCACCCACCCACTCACCCACCCACTCACCCACCCACTCACTCACCCACCCACTCACCCACTCACTCACCCACCCACTCACCCACTCACTCACCCACCCACTCACCCACTCACTCACTCACCCACCCACTCACCCACTCACTCACCCACCCACTCACCCACCCACCCACTCACCCACTCACCCACTCACTCCCTCACCCACCCACCCACTCACTCACCCACCCACTCACTGACTCACCCACTCACTCACCCACCCACTCATCCACCCACCCACTCATCCACCCACCCACTCACCCACTCAGTCACCCACTCACTCACCCACTCAGTCACCCACTCACTCACTCACCCACTCACTCCCTCACCCACTCACTCCCTCACCCACTCCCTCACCCACTCACTCACTGACTCACCCACTCACTCACCCACCCACTCACTCACTCACTCACCCACCCACCCACTCACTCACCCACCCACCCACTCACTCACCCACCCACTCACAAACCCACTAACTCACTCACCCACCCACTCACTCACCCAACCATCCATCCACCCACTCACTCGCCCATCCATCCACTCACCCACTCACTGATTCACCCACCCACTCACTGACTCACCCACTCACTCACTCACTCGCCCATCCATCCACCCACTCACCCCCCTTTCACCAATCCACCCACTCACCCACCCACTCACTCAACCACCCATCCATCCACCCACCCACTCACCCATCCACCCACTCAACCACCCACTCAATCACTCACTCACTCACCCACCCAGTCACTCACTCACCCACCCACCAACTCACCCACCCACCCACCCACACTCACCTCCAGGCTGGCAGTGGTCGATTTCAGGCTGAGCGGACCCGTGTGTTGGTCAGCGCCGGGGTCCGTCGCGTTGACGGAGGCGACGGTGACGGTGGCGGTGACGGTGATGATGTCACCGGACGGCGAGATGCAGCAGAGGCGACGGGGAGACACGGGTACACAGGACGTGGACAGGGAGGGCAGGCCTCTACCAGGCAAGTCCAGCCAGGCCTGTGGGAGACACGGGGAGACACGGTGAGACACGGAGAGACACGGGGAGACACGGGTACACAGGACGTGGACAGGGAGGGTAGGCCTCTACCAGGCAAGTCCAGCCAGGCCTGTGGGAGACACGGGGAGACACGGTGAGACACGGTGAGACACGGAGAGACACGGGGAGACACGGGGAGACACGGAGAGACACGGGGAGACACGGGGAGACACGGGGAGACACGGGGAGACACGGAGAGACACGGGGAGACAGGGGGAGACACGGGTACACAGGACGTGGACAGGGAGGGCAGGCCTCTACCAGGCAAGTCCAGCCAGGCCTGTGGGAGACACGGGGAGACACGGTGAGACACGGGGACACACGGGGAGACACGGGGAGACACGGGGAGACACGGGGACACACGGGGAGACACGGAGAGACACGGGGAGACACGGAGAGACACGGGGAGACACGGGGAGACACGGTGAGACACGGGGAGACACGGGGAGACACGGGGACACACGGGGAGACACGGAGAGACACGGGGAGACACGGAGAGACACGGAGAGACACGGGGAGACACGGGGAGACACGGTGAGACAGGGTGAGACACGGGGAGACACGGAGAGACACGGAGAGACACGGGGAGACATGGGGAGACACGGAGAGACACGGTGAGACACGGTGAGACACGGGGAGACACGGGGAGACACGGGTACACACGGTGAGACACGGAGAGACACGGTGAGACACGGGGACACACGGAGAGACACGGGGAGACACGGTGAGACAGGGTGAGACACGGAGAGACACGGGGAGACACGGAGAGACACGGAGAGACACGGGGAGACACGGGGAGACACGGAGAGACACGGTGAGACACGGTGAGACACGGGGAGACACGGGGAGACACGGGTACACACGGTGAGACACGGGGACACACGGAGAGACACGGAGAGACACGGTGAGACACGGTGAGACACGGGGAGACACGGGGAGACACGGGTACACACGGTGAGACACGGAGAGACACGGTGAGACACGGGGACACACGGAGAGACACGGAGAGACACGGGGAGACACGGTGAGACAGGGTGAGACACGGAGAGACACGGGGAGACACGGAGAGACACGGGGAGACACGGGGAGACACGGGGAGACACGGAGAGACACGGTGAGACACGGTGAGACACGGGGAGACACGGGGAGACACGGGGAGACACGGGTACACACGGTGAGACATGGAGAGACACGGTGAGACACGGGGACACACGGAGAGACACGGAGAGACACGGGGAGACACGGTGAGACAGGGTGAGACACGGAGAGACACGGGGAGACATGGGGAGACACGGAGAGACACGGGGAGACATGGGGAGACACGGAGAGACACGGTGAGACACGGTGAGACACGGGGAGACACGGGGAGACACGGGTACACACGGTGAGACACGGAGAGACACGGTGAGACACGGGGACACACGGAGAGACACGGAGAGACACGGGGAGACACGGTGAGACAGGGTGAGACACGGAGAGACACGGGGAGACACGGAGAGACACGGAGAGACACGGGGAGACACGGGGAGACACGGAGAGACACGGTGAGACACGGGGAGACACGGGGAGACACGGGTACACACGGTGAGACACGGAGAGACACGGTGAGACACGGGGACACACGGAGAGACACGGAGAGACACGGGGAGACACGGTGAGACAGGGTGAGACACGGAGAGACACGGGGAGACACGGAGAGACACGGAGAGACACGGGGAGACACGGGGAGACACGGAGAGACACGGTGAGACACGGTGAGACACGGGGAGACACGGGGAGACACGGGTACACACGGTGAGACACGGAGAGACACGGTGAGACACGGGGAGACACGGGGAGACAGGACGTGGACAGGGAGGGTAGGCCTCTACCAGGCAAGTCCAGCCAGGCCTGTGGGAGACACGGGGAGACACGGGGAGACACGGTGAGACACGGGGAGACACGGAGAGACACGGTGAGACACGGAGAGACACGGAGAGACACGGGGAGACACGGAGAGACACGGGGAGACACGGAGAGACACGGGGAGACACGGTGAGACACGGGGAGACACGGGGAGACACGGAGAGACACGGGGAGACACGGGGAGACACGGTGAGACACGGGGACACACGGGGAGACACGGTGAGACACGGGGAGACACGGGGAGACACGGGGAGACACGGTGACACAAGGAGAGACACGGGGAGACACGGTGAGACACGGTGAGACACGGGGAGACACGGGGAGACACGGAGAGACACGGTGAGACACGGAGAGACACGGTGAGACACGGGGAGACACGGGGAGACACGGGGAGACACGGAGAGACACGGGGAGACACGGGTACACACGGTG